CGAGAGACCAGCGAGAGACCAGCGAGAGACCAGCGAGAGACCAGCGAGAGACCAGCGAGAGACCAGCGAGAGACCAGCGAGAGACCAGAGAGAGACCAGAGAGAGACCAGAGAGAGACCAGAGAGAGAGACCAGAGAGAGACCAGAGAGAGACCAGAGAGAGACCAGAGAGAGACCAGAGAGAGAGAGGTCCTGGTCCTCTGTGGTCTCTGACAATCATTGGACAAACAATGTGTTTTATCGATGAAACATGTTGCGAACCCGAGCTTTGCTTTAATGACTCCTCGTCACGTGACATCACCTGTCATCTCCTCCTCGTCACCTGTCATCTCCCCGTCCTCTCCCTTTGCTTTTGGGAAACATTTCCAAACACTTCTCTCTTCCTCCTCAGAAGTTCCTGGGTTCGCGGCGATTCTATATCGCAGCATTTTACTGTAATTTCCAGCCGTCCGGGAGATCTGAGGCTTCACGCGGCTACGCTAACCTGTCACCAGAGACCGCTGCCGGAACAGGTACTGCAATTAGCGGCTGGAGAACATGTTTATCTGTCAGGCTGAAGACAGGGGGGGAGGGGGGAGGAGGGGGAGGGGGGAGGAGGGGGAGGGGGGTCCGCTCTGCCCCTTTTAACTGTGTACCGGCCATTAGGCGATTTCACACAAGTCGTTTTCAGATACAAAGAGGGGGGCGCCGGTGTGTCCAGCCCCCCCACTCCCCAATTAGAGGAGAATCTCCCGCTTCAGCATTTATTACCCCTCTTCAGGGTCCGGGCGCCGCCATCACTTCTCCATAACTAGCCGCACAAAAACCAAACGCTCCATTTGGTGTGATTTGTTGCCCCGCTTGACCACTCCTTTGTGGCGGCTAAGCGCTGTGGAATGGGGCCCCCTGCTGTTTTATCAAGTCTGCTGAACGGGTAATGGAATAAGTGAGGGTGACAGTGACGGGGGGAGGGAGGGGGAGGGAGGGAGGGAGGGGGAGGGAGGGAGGGGGGGGCAACAGAGCGCCTTATTTGAATCATTTTAGTGAGAGGCAATTACAGCGCGCCCCACGAGGAGGAAACAGCCGCTGTAGAGACAACACCAATCAATGAGCCAGGACTGTTAGAGGATGGACACACAACATGGACACACAACATGGACACACAACATGGACATACAACATGGACATACATAATGGGCACACAACATGAGACACCCCAGGAGACACAGAGAAAGACCAGAGAGAGACCGACCAGAGAGTGACCAGAGAGAGAGAGACCAGAGAGAGACCAGAGAGAGACCAGAGAGAGAGACCAGAGAGAGACCAGAGAGAGAGACCAGAGAGAGACCAGAGAGAGGCCAGAGAGAGAGACCAGAGAGAGAGACCAGAGAGAGACCAGAGAGAGACCAGAGAGAGACCAGAGAGAGACCAGAGAGAGACCAGAGAGAGACCAGAGAGAGACCAGAGAGAGACCAGAGAGAGAGAGACCAGAGAGAGAGAGACCAGAGAGAGAGAACAGAGAGAGAGAGAGTGACCAGAGAGAGACGAGAGAGAGAGAGACCAGAGAGAGAGAGAGAGACCAGAGAGAGAGAGACCAGAGAGAGACCAGAGAGAGAAGCAACTCGCTGAAGTCGTCAGATGAAATGATAAAGAACTTGGAGAATGGGCTCAGATCAGAGGGACCTGAAGGAGCAGCTCAGGTCTTCTCCTGATGCTCCTCCTGCTGCTCCTCCTGCTGCTCCTCCTGATGCTCCTGCTGCTCCTCCTGCTGCTCCTGCTGCTCCTCCTGATGCTCCTGCTGCTCCTCCTGATGCTCCTCCTGATGCTCCTGCTGCTCCTCCTGATGCTCCTGCTGCTCCTCCTGATGCTCCTCCTGATGCTCCTGCTGCTCCTCCTGATGCTCCTGCTGCTCCTCCTGATGCTCCTCCTGATGATCCTGCTGCTCCTCCTGCTGCTCCTGCTGCTCCTGCTTTAACATGACATGAGACAGAGATATTCTACAGATCTGTTCAAGTTCATCCATGTTCCTGGTTCCATCAGCCCTTCACCAGGTCCCCTCTCTCCTGGTCCTGGTCTGGTCTGGTCCTGGTCTGGTCCTGGTCCTGGTCTGGTCCTGGTCTAGTCCTGGTCCTGGTCTCAGCAGGTCCAGAGCTCGTGTGTCAGTGACAGTCTGCTCTGACAGAGCATTATTCAAACTCATGAATATTCAGTTTGTGCAGAAGACAAAGAAACATATCTGTGCATCAGAGACGGAGAGGTGTCCCCCATCCTCCCCCATCCTCCTCCCCCATCCTCCCCCCATCATCCTCCCCCTTCATCCTCCCCCTTCATCCTCCCCCATCCTCCCCCTTCATCCTCCCCCATCCTCCCCCTTCATCCTCCCCCATCCTCCCCCTTCATCCTCCCCCATCATCCCCCTTCATCCTCCCCCATCCTCCCCCTTCATCCTCCCCCTTCATCCTCCCCCATAATCCTCCCACATAATCCCCCTTCATCCTCCCCCATAATCCTCCCCCTTCATCCTCCCTTCGTCCTCCCCATCTTCCCCTTCATCCCCCTCCATCCCCCCCTCCATCCCCCCCTCCATCCCCCCCTCCATCCTCCCCTCTTCATCCTCCCCCTCCATCCTCCCCCTCATTCCTCCCCCTCCATCCTCCCCCTCATTCCTCCCCCTCCATCCTCCCCTCCTCCCCCTCTCTCCTTTCTTCTCTCTCTCATCCTTCCATCAGAGATGGAGAGGCAACCCTCTATCCTCCTTCCGTCTCTCCCCCTCTCTCTCCCCCTCTCTGTCTCCCCCTCTCTCCCTCCCCCCTCTCTCCCTTCCCTCCCCCCCCCCAGTCGTGCTTGGCTGATGTGAAGAATCCCACTTGTCCTTTGTCAGCACAACACTCTTTAATTTGAGGCTTTCAGTCCTGAGTAAGCAGCGTCTCTGAACCCGCGGAGACTGAGGAGCGGGTCCTTCAATCCCCCCGTCTCCCACCGTCTCCCTCGTCTCCCACCGTCTCCCACCGTCTCCCCCCGTCTCCCCCCGTCTCCCCCGTCTCCCTCGTCTCCCCCCGTCTCCCTCGTCTCCCTCGTCTCCCCCGTCTCCCCCCGTCTCCCCCCGTCTCCCCCCGTCTCCCCCCGTCTCCCTCGTCTCCCCCCGTCTCCCTCGTCTCCCTCGTCTCCCTCGTCTCCCCCCGTCTCCCCCCGTCTCCCTCGTCTCCCCGCGTCTCCCCCCGTCTCCCTCGTCTCCCTCGTCTCCCTCGTCTCCCTCGTCTCCCTCGTCTCCCTCGTCTCCCCCCGTCTCCCTCGTCTCCCTCGTCTCCCTCGTCTCCCCCCGTCTCCCTCGTCTCCCCCCGTCTCCCCCCGTCTCCCCCCGTCAGCGCAGCCACAGCGCTCCGCCGCGGCCCCTGTGTTTTATCTGCCCCATGCATAAGTCAGGAGCAGAGTGCACCGTGTCAGCGCCACCAACGCCACCAACGCCACCACCGCCACCAACGCCTCCAACACCACCAACGCCTCCAACGCCACCAACGCCACCAACGCCTCCAACGCCTCCAACGCCTCCAACGCCACCAACGCCTCCAACGCCACCAACGCCACCAACGCCACCAACGCCACCAACGCCACCAACGCCACCAACGCCTCCAACGCCACCAACGCCTCCAACGCCTCCAACGCCTCCAACGCCACCAACGCCTCCAACGCCACCAACGCCACCAACGCCACCAACGCCTCCAACGCCACCAACGCCACCAACGCCACCAACGCCATCAACGCCACCAACGCCTCCAACGCCTCCAACGCCTCCAACGCCACCAACGCCACCAACGCCACCAACGCCACCAACGCCACCAACGCCTCCAACGCCACCAACGCCACCAACGCCACCAACGCCACCAACGCCTCCACCGCCACCAACGCCTCCAACGTCTCCAACGCCACCAACACCACCAACGCCTCCAACGCCACCAACGCCTCCAACGCCTCCAACGCCTCCAACGCCACCAACGCCACCAACGCCACCAACGCCTCCAACGCCTCCAACGCCACCAACGCCACCAACGCCACCAACGCCACCAACGCCTCCACCGCCACCAACGCCTCCAACGTCTCCAACGCCTCCACCGCCTCCAAGGCCACCACCGCCACCACCGCCACCACCGCCACCACCGCCACCAACGCCACCAACGCCACCAACGCCTCCACCGCCACCAACGCCTCCAACGTCTCCAACGCCACCAACACCACCAACGCCTCCAACGCCACCAACGCCTCCAACGCCTCCAACGCCTCCAACGCCACCAACGCCACCAACGCCACCAACGCCTCCAACGCCTCCAACGCCACCAACGCCACCAACGCCACCAACGCCACCAACGCCTCCACCGCCACCAACGCCTCCAACGTCTCCAACGCCTCCAACGCCTCCACCGCCTCCAAGGCCACCACCGCCACCACCGCCACCACCGCCACCACCGCCACCACCGCCACCAACGCCACCAACGCCACCACCGCCACCACCGCCACCACCGCCACCAACGCCTCCAACGCCACCAACGCCACCAACGCCTCCAACGCCACCAACGCCTCCAACGCCACCAACGCCACCAACGCCTCCAACGCCTCCAACGCCACCAACGCCACCAACGCCACCAACGCCTCCAACGCCACCAACGCCACCAACGCCACCAACGCCACCAACGCCACCAACGCCTCCTCACCGCCACCAACGTCTCCAACGCCTCCAACGCCTCCACCGCCTCCAAGGCCACCACCGCCACCACCGCCACCACCGCCACCAACGCCACCACCGCCACCACCGCCACCACCGCCACCACCGCCACCAACGCCACCAACGCCACCACCGCCACCACCGCCACCAACGCCTCCAACGCCACCAACGCCACCAACGCCTCCAACGCCACCAACGCCTCCAACGCCACCAACGCCACCAACGCCTCCAACGCCTCCAACGCCTCCAACGCCACCAACGCCACCAACGCCACCAACGCCACCAACGCCACCAACGCCACCAACGCCTCCACCGCCACCAACGCCTCCAACGTCTCCAACGCCTCCACCGCCTACAAGGCCACCACCGCCACCACCGCCACCAACGCCACCACCGCCACCACCGCCACCACCGCCACCAACGCCACCAACGCCACCACCGCCACCACCGCCACCAACGCCACCAACTCCACCACCGCCACCACCGCCACCACCGCCACCAACGCCACCACCGCCACCAACGCCTCCAACGCCACCAACGCCACCACCGCCACCACCGCCACCACCGCCACCAACGCCACCAACGCCACCAACGCCACCACCGCCACCACCGCCACCAACGCCACCACCGCCACCAACGCCACCACCGCCACCAACGCCACCACCGCCACCAACGCCACCAACGCCACCAACGCCACCAACGCCACCAACGCCACCACCGCCACCACCGCCACCACCGCCACCAACGCCACCACCGCCACCAACGCCACCAACGCCTCCAACGCCACCAACGCCTCCAACGCCACCAACGCCTCCAACGCCACCAACGCCTCCAACGCCACCAACGCCACCAACGCCTCCAACGCCACCAACGCCACCAACGCCACCAACGCCACCAACGCCATCAACGCCACCAACGCCTCCAACGCCTCCAACGCCACCAACGCCACCAACGCCACCAACGCCACCAACGCCACCAACGCCTCCAACGCCACCAACGCCACCAACGCCACCAACGCCACCAACGCCTCCACCGCCACCAACGCCTCCAACGCCTCCAACGTCTCCAACGCCACCAACGCCACCAACGCCTCCAACGCCACCAACGCCTCCAACGCCTCCAACGCCACCAACGCCACCAACGCCACCAACGCCTCCAACGCCTCCAACGCCACCAACGCCACCAACGCCACCAACGCCTCCACCGCCACCAACGCCTCCAACGTCTCCAACGCCTCCAACGCCTCCACCGCCTCCAAGGCCACCACCGCCACCACCGCCACCACCGCCACCACCGCCACCAACGCCACCAACGCCACCACCGCCACCACCGCCACCACCGCCACCACCGCCACCAACGCCTCCAACGCCACCAACGCCACCAACGCCTCCAACGCCACCAACGCCTCCAACGCCACCAACGCCACCAACGCCTCCAACGCCTCCAACGCCACCAACGCCACCAACGCCACCAACGCCTCCAACGCCACCAACGCCACCAACGCCACCAACGCCACCAACGCCACCAACGCCACCAACGCCTCCACCGCCACCAACGCCTCCAACGTCTCCAACGCCTCCAACGCCTCCACCGCCTCCAAGGCCACCACCGCCACCACCGCCACCACCGCCACCAACGCCACCACCGCCACCACCGCCACCACCGCCACCACCGCCACCAACGCCACCAACGCCACCACCGCCACCACCGCCACCAACGCCTCCAACGCCACCAACGCCACCAACGCCTCCAACGCCACCAACGCCTCCAACGCCACCAACGCCACCAACGCCTCCAACGCCTCCAACGCCTCCAACGCCACCAACGCCACCAACGCCACCAACGCCACCAACGCCACCAACGCCACCAACGCCACCAACGCCTCCACCGCCACCAACGCCTCCAACGTCTCCAACGCCTCCACCGCCTCCAAGGCCACCACCGCCCACCACCGCCACCACCGCCACCAACGCCACCACCGCCACCACCGCCACCACCGCCACCACCGCCACCAACGCCACCACCGCCACCACCGCCACCACCGCCACCAACGCCACCAACGCCACCACCGCCACCACCGCCACCAACGCCACCACCGCCACCAACGCCTCCAACGCCACCAACGCCACCACCGCCACCACCGCCACCAACGCCACCAACGCCACCAACGCCACCACCGCCACCACCGCCACCAACGCCACCACCGCCACCAACGCCACCACCGCCACCACCGCCACCACCGCCACCACCGCCACCAACGCCACCACCGCCACTAACGCCACCAACGCCACCAACGCCACCAACGCCACCACCGCCACCACCGCCACCACCGCCACCACCGCCACCAACGCCACCAACGCCTCCAACGCCACCAACGCCTCCAAAGCCACCAACGCCTCCAACGCCACCAACGCCACCAACGCCACCAACGCCACCACCGCCACCACCGCCACCACCGCCACCAACGCCTCCAACGCCACCAACGCCTCCGCCGCCTCCACCGCCTCCAACGCCACCAACGCCACCACCGCCACCATCCTCCTTCCGTCTCTCGCCCTCTCTCTCTCCCCCTCTCACCCCCCTGTGTGTGTCTCTGTGTCTGTGTGTGTGTGTCTGTGTGTGTGTGTCTCTGTGTGTGCGTGTGTCTGTGTGTGTGTATCTCTGTGCGTGTGTCTGTGTGTGTGTATCTCTGTGTGTGTCTCTGTGTGTGTGTGTGTCTCTGTGTGCGTCTCTGTGTCTGTGTGTGTGTGTCTCTGTGTGTGTGTGTGTGTGTCTGTATGTGTGTGTCTCTGTGTGTGTCTCTGTGTGTGTGTGTCTCTGTAGTTTCAATCTGACTAGTCTCTGTGTAACTGAGCACACACAGGCACACACACACACACACACAGTTTCAATCTGACTAGCTTCTGAGGCTAGTAACTGAACAGATGGGGGCTCAGAGGTTGTGGCAGAGCAGCTCTGCACCCGGGCCTCAGTTCTGCACCGTCATTTGAGCCGAGCAGAACAGTTTAGAGCCAGGGCCAAATTCTTAGCCAAAAGGGATGTACCCGCCAACGTTGGGTGGATATCATCCGAGCGGATGAGACCGGGCTTTCCCCAAAAGGCACTCCAATTGTCAACATGAACAACACCACTTCGAGGGCACCAGCCAGACAGCCAGCGGTTGAAAGCCGAGTGTCTGCTGAATGCTTCTGCACTGCTAGTGCTAGGTAGGGGCCCAGAGAAGATGACAGTGTCGGCCATTGTGCTAGCCAGCTTGCACACGGCGGCGACTTGCAGCTTCAACACCTCGGACTGTTTCCGCCGAACGTCATTACCACCCGCGTGAATAACAATTCGACGGAAACGCTGCTTGTGGGTCATCATGAGCCTCAGATTCCCTTCAATATCACCAAGCCTGGCCCCAGGGAAGCACCGAACAGTGGCTCCTGGGATCTTAACACCTCTAACAATAGAGGAGCCAATTACCAGCGCATCAGCGACTCCATCGGCTCTCTCAGCAGCTCTCTCAGCGGCTCTCTCAGCGGCTCTCTCAGCGGCTCTCTCAGCAGCTCTCTCAGCGGCTCTCTCAGCGGCTCTCTCAGCGGCTCTCTCAGCAGCTCTCTCAGCAGCTCTCTCAGCAGCTCTCTCAGCGGCTCTCTCAGTGGCTCTCTCAGCGGCTCTCTCAGCGGCTCTCTCAGCAGCTCTCTCAGCAGCTCTCTCAGCAGCTCTCTCAGCGGCTCTCTCAGTGGCTCTCTCAGCGGCTCTCTCAGCGGCTCTCTCAGTGGCTCTCTCAGCGGCTCTCTCAGCGGCTCTCTCAGCAGCTCTCTCAGCGGCTCTCTCAGAGGCTCTCTCAGCAGCTCTCTCAGCGGCTCTCTCAGCGGCTCTCTCAGCAGCTCTCTCAGCGGCTCTCTCAGCGGCTCTCTCAGCGGCTCTCTCAGTGGGGCCTTCTTCCCCGACAGAGCGTCCCAGTGATTGTAAATGCTAACAGGAGGAGGCCCAATGGGGAAACTACCAACAACACGTGGCCCTCTCCGAACAGTCACAAAGCCATCACTATCCTGGTCTTGTCCCAGCTGCGGAGGACGGGCTGGGAGGCTAGGCTCGCTAGTTCTCCTCTGCCTTTCCCTAAAGCTGCGCTCCGCTGTCCCTGAGGATACGGCCTGGCTGTAGCTAATGCTAGCGCTAGCTCGAGACTCCAGTGCTCGGAGACGCAGCTCTAACTCACTGACCCTGGATTCCAGAGCTACGACTACACTACACTTCACACATCTATCACTACCCTCAGAGAAGGATCCAGGGTTTAGACTCGCCATATGGCAACTCGAGCAGTAAAGGATTGAGGGAGAGACAGCAGCCGCCATAGTAGCGAGTTAGCGGCTAGGCTAGGCTAAGCTAGGCTAGGCTAAGCTAGTACGGATCCGGGCCCGCACAACAGACTCCGAAACCAGACAAACAACCACTACCTAAACCTCAGCTGCAGTACAGCTGACTCGGAGTGCTTACACAGTTAGCTTGGTGTACAATACGTGGATTTGTAATGTGTTTGTTAGAGCAGAGAGCAGAGTGATAGCAGTCAAGAAACACGCTCACCGGATACAGGAAGTCACGTGACCCCCACCTCCTGCTGCTCTGACCCCCGCCTCCTGCTGCTCTGACCCCCACCTCCTGCTGCTCTGACCCCCACCTCCTGCTGCTCTGACCCCCACCTCCTGCTGCTCTGACCCCCACCTCCTGCTGCTCTGACCCCCACCTCCTGCTGCTCTGACCCCCACCTCCTGCTGCTCTGACCCCCACCTCCTGCTGCTCTGACCCCCACCTCCTGCTGCTCTGACCCCCACCTCCTGCTGCTCTGACCCTCACCTCCTGCTGCTCTGACCCCCACCTCCTGCTGCTCTGACCCCCGCCTCCTGCTGCTCTGACCCCCACCTCCTGCTGCTCTGACCCCCACCTCCTGCTGCTCTGACCCTCACCTCCTGCTGCTCTGACCCCCACCTCCTGCTGCTCTGACCCCCACCTCCTGCTGCTCTGACCCCCACCTCCTGCTGCTCTGACCCCCACCTCCTGCTGCTCTGACCCCCACCTCCTGCTGCTCCTGCACGTACATTTGGACATGCGCAGTAGCGGAGAACAAACAAAAACAACAATGGCGGCGGTCACACTAACTAGCTTCGTGGGCTTCCAGCGCGGCACGGAGGATAATTCTACTCCTTCGTTCGTCCAAACGAGACCACGCGAAGCTCTAGGTTCAGTTTCCATTTTCACAGCTGCTGTTAAAATGCAGAATGATGTTGGTGCGTTCTGAGGGTCTGGCACAGGAAGTGAGTACACTGCAGAGAGGGGGGCTGGGCACGGGGCTGGGGGTCGTGTGTTGTGTTGTAAAGTTTCTCTGCCCCCTACTGGCCGGGCGCTAGAACTACATCGTTTTTCAACCTCATGTGAACATTTCTGTTCATAGCCTGGAAACGTCTGCGCAGCGTCTCAGTGTAAACAGGGCCTTATGTTGTAACTTTACAACCGAGGGTGATTCATATGTTAATGATAGAATCTAACAGCCCTACCCTACTCTACCCTACCCTACCCTACTCTACTCCTACCCTACCCTACCCTACCCTACCCTACCCTACCCTACTCTACTCTACTCTACTCTACTCTACTCTACTCTACTCTACTCTACTCTACCCTACCCTACCCTACCCTACCCTACTCTACTCTACTCTACTCTACTCTACTCTACTCGACTCTACTCTACTCTACCCTACCCTACCCTACCCTACCCTACCCTACCCTACCCTACCCTACTCTACTCTACTCTACCCTACCCTACCCTACCCTACCCTACCCTACTCTACCCTACCCTACCCTACCCTACTCTACCCCTACCCTACCCTACCCTACCCTACTCTACTCTACTCTACTCTACTCTACCCTACCCTACCCTACCCTACTCTACTCTACCCTACCCTACCCTACCCTACCCTACCCTACTCTACCCTACTCTACTCTACTCTACCCTACCCTACCCTACCCTACCCTACCCTACCCTACTCTACTCTACCCTACCCTACCCTACTCTACTCTACTCTACTCTACCCTACCCTACCCTACCCTACCCTACTCTACTCTACTCTACTCTACCCTACCCTACCCTACTCTACTCTACTCTACTCTACTCTACTCTACTCTACTGTACCCTACTCTACATCTCTCTACATATCTATTCCTATCTCCCATCTCTACTCTCTCCCTCTTATCCCTCCCCCACCCCCCCCCTCTCTCCCCCCTCCTGAAGCGTGAGCAGCTTCTCTCTAACAAAATGTCTTGTTTCATGTGAGTGTTAAAGCTGTGGGCGTCAGGGGCCTGTGATCGGGGCCTGTGATGGTGTCTTCTTCACCTCCACAGTCTCCCCCTCTCTCCCCCTCTCTCCCCCTCTCTGCTGGGGGGAGGGGGGAGGAGCCTGCTCAGATGCGGCGCCTGCAGTTGTGTCTTGAGTCTTTGAAGCGCCGTGACTCCGCGGCGGCCCCCGGTGGCCCCCGGCGATGCCACCGTCTGCGTCCCTCACTGTTTGAAGAAACACAACGAATACAAGTCTCCCCCACGACCCCTCAGCCACGGGCGCACACTGAGACACACACACACACACACACTGAGACACACACACACACACACTGAGACACACACACACACACACACACTGAGACACACACACACACACACACACTGAGAGAGACACACACACACACACTGAGACACACACACACACTGAGACACACACACTGAGAGACACACACACACACTGAGAGACACACACGCTGGGAGAGACACACACTGACCGACACACACACATACACACTGAGAGAGACACACCTGGGTGCACACTCCTTCAAACTCCTTCTGGTCCCTGCTCCTTCTGGTCGCTGCTCCTTCTGGTCCCTGCTCCTTCTGGTCCCTGCTCCTTCCATGTGTTAGTTATGATTGCGTGGCTGTGTGTGATTCTCTGATCTGCTGTTGCTGAATCCACAACTGTGTAAAGAGACGTTTGCTGTGGTTCAGGACGAGACATGACTGTCAGACTGTACAACGAGTCTTGCATCAGGACTAAAAACCTGCTGCTATTGACACTGTTTCTTTAACTGCTAACTTTTATTGTACATGACTATATCCTGAACACACTGTATTTTTAACCTTTAACCTCTCACACTTTGACCTCAGCGTGTTTGATGTGTCTGTGGTGCAGGTCTTCGGTGTGAGTCCGACCTCTTCTTCTTCTTCTTCTTCTTCTTCTTCTTCTTCTTATTCAAACAGAAACAACAGAAGCAGCAGTGGACAGAGCTCTAACATCAGCAGCTCCATAAATCTCCCGCCGCCCCGGAGTGCTGCTCCTGGTGGGGTCTGCCCCGGGGTCACTGTCTCCCCCCCCCCCCCCCCCCCCCCCCCCCCCCCCCTCACCCCCATCCTCTGTGCACCTTGCCCCTGCACCTCTCACCCTCTCCTCCTCTCCTCCTCTCCTCTCCTCCCTCTGCTCTCTCCTTCAGTTGTGGATGGATCTTCGTCTCGCGGCCCCTCGACGGCTGATTTATTGCGGCTCCTTTCCGTGCAGGCAGGAGCAGGCCTCTCTGGGGGTCTCTCTGGGGGCCCTGCCTGCAGAGCTCAGGGGGAAGGCTCTCGTCTCCCCCGTCTCACCCCTGGGCTCCGGTCCGCGCTGATGCCAAGTACCAAACGGCCGCCGCAGATCGCCGGCCATCCGTCATGTGCAGCTCTGGAGGCTTCTTAAAGAGCCGCTGGAACAATGAGAGACAGGCCGCTCCCTCGCCGCCTCTCAGGGACATTGATCTGATTCTGCTGCTATTTATTACCTCACCTCTGCGGGGGAGACGGGGGAGACAGGGGGGGCACCTCCATGCTGGGGGATAATGTGCAGAGAAATGAGGGGAAGTAGGAACAACTATTTTTAACTGCAGGATTTATTTTTAATGGAGCCATATGTGTAAATGTGGCCAAAAGTGGTACTGCAGCCACGGCCTATTCTCTGTAGTCCTGTCCTGCACTCGGGTTGCCAGATATGCAGACGAATACATCAGGGACAAAAGTGCCAAATTCACCAACACTGTCTCCTGACAACACAAACTGTGAAGAAATATAGAGGTATCATTTGAAGAACCAGCGGCTCTACTCCGAGCTCCTGCATGTTACTGAGCTCCTCTATCTCCAACACTCTGCAGAGGACGAAGTTAAGCTCACTCTAACTTAATTCTATAAATGTCAAAACTATAGCAACTCTGAACGCTCTGAACCAATGAGAAGCCGGGAAACAGAGGCCTGAAAGAGACCAGAGAGAGACCAGAGAGAGAGACCAGAGAGAAACCAGAGAGAGAGAACAGAGAAACCAGAGAGAGACCAGAGAGAGACCAGAGAGAGACCAGAGAGAGAGACCAGAGAGAAACCAGAGAGAGAGAACAGAGAAACCAGAGAGAGACCAGAGAGACCAGGGAGAGACCAGAGAGAGAGACCAGAGAGAGAGACCAGAGAAACCAGAGAGAGACCAGAGAGACCAGGGAGAGACCAGAGAGAGAGACCAGAGAGAGACCAGAGAGACCAGAGAGAGAGACCAGAGAGAGACCAGAGAGAGACCAGAGAGAGACCAGAGAGAGACCAGAGAGAGACCAGAGAGACCAGAGCGAGACCAGAGAGAGAGACCAGAGAGAGACCAGAGAGACCAGAGAGAGAGACCAGAGAGAGACCAGAGAGAGAGACCAGAGAGAGAGACCAGAGAGAGACCAGAGAGAGAGACCAGAGAGAGAGACCAGAGAGAGAGAGACCAGAGAGAGAGACCAGAGAAACCAGAGAGAGACCAGAGAGACCAGAGAGAGACCAGAGAGAGAGACCAGAGAGAGACCAGAGAGAGAGACCAGAGAGAGACCAGAGAGAGACCAGAGAGAGACCAGAGAAACCAGAGAGAGACCAGAGAGACCAGAGCGAGACCAGAGAGAGAGACCAGAGAGAGACCAGAGAGCGAGACCAGAAAGAGACCAGAGAGAGATCAGAGAGACCAGAAAGAGAGACCAGAGAGAGAGACCAGAGAGGGACCAGAGAGAGACCAGAGAAACCAGAGAGAGACCAGAGAGACCAGAGAGAGACCAGAGAGAGAGAGACCAGAGAGAGACCAGAGAGAGACCAGAGAGAGACCAGAGAGAGAGACCAGAGAGACCAGAGAGAGACCAGAGAGAGACCAGAGAGAGACCAGAGAGACCAGAGAGAGACCAGAGATACCAGAGAGACCAGAGAGAGACCAGAGAGAGAGACCAGAGAGAAACCAGAGAGAGACCAGAGAGACCAGAGAGAGACCAGAGAGAGAGACCAGAGAGAGACCAGAGAGAGACCAGAGAGAGAGACCAGAGATACCAGAGAGACCAGAGAGAGACCAGAGAGAGAGACCAGAGAGAGACCAGAGAGAGACCAGAGAGAGAGACCAGAGAGAGACCAGAGATACCAGAGAGACCAGAGAGAGACCAGGGAGAGAGACCAGAGAGAGATCAGAGAGACCAGAAAGAGAGACCAGAGAGAGAGACCAGAGAGAGACCAGAGAGAGACCAGAGAAACCAGAGAGAGACCAGAGAGACCAGAGAGAGACCAGAGAGAGAGACCAGAGAGAGACCAGAGAGAAACCAGAGAGAGACCAGAGAGACCAGAGAGAAACCAGAGAGAGAAAACAGAGAGAGAGAGACCAGAGAGAGAGACCAGAGAGAGACCAGAGAGAGACCAGAGAAACCAGAGAGAGACCAGAGAGACCAGAGAGAAACCAGAGAGAGAGAGACCAGAGAGAGACCAGAGAGAGAGACCAGAGAGAGACCAGAGAGAGAGACCAGAGATACCAGAGAGAGAGACCAGAGAGAGACCAGAGAGAGAGACCAGAGAGAGACCAGAGATACCAGAGAGACCAGAGAGAGAGACCAGAGAGAGACCAGAGATACCAGAGAGACCAGAGAGAGACCAGAGAGAGAGACCAGAGAGAGACCAGAGAGAGACCAGAGAGAGACCAGAGAGAGACCAGACCAGAGAGAGACCAGAGAGAGAGAACAGAGAGAGAGAGACCAGAGAGAGACCAGAGAGAGAGACCAGAGAGAGACCAGAGAGAGACCAGAGAGAGAGACCAGAGATACCAGAGAGAACCAAAGAGAGACCAGAGAGAGAGACCAGAGAGAGACCAGAGAGAGAGACCAGAGAGAGACCAGAGAGAGAGACCAGAGAGAGACCAGAGAGAGAGACCAGAGAGCGACCAGAGAGAGACCCAGAAAGAGAGACCAGAGAGAGAGACCAGAGAGAGACCAGAGAGAGACCAGAGAGAGACCAGAGAAACCAGAGAGAGACCAGAGAGACCAGAGAGAGACCAGAGAGAGAGACCAGAGAGAGACCAGAGAGAGACCAGAGAGAGACCAGAGAGAGAGACCAGAGAGAGAGACTAGAGAGAGACCAGAGAGAGACCAGAGAGAGAGACCAGAGAGAGAGACCAGAGATACCAGAGAGACCAGAGAGAGACCAGAGAGAGAGACCAGAGAGAGACCAGAGAGAGACCAGAGAGAGACCAGAGAAACCAGAGAGAGACCAGAGAGACCAGAGAGAGACCAGAGAGAGACCAGAGAGAGACCAGAGAGAGACCAGAGAGACCAGAGAGACCAGAGAGAAACCAGAGAGAGTGAACAGAGAAACCAGAGAGAGACCAGAGAGAGACCAGAGAAACCAGAGAGAGACCAGAGAGACCAGAGAGAGACCAGAGAGAGAGACCAGAGAGAGACCAGAGAGAAACCAGAGAAACCAGAGAGAGACCAGAGAGAGACCAGAGAAACCAGAGAGAGACCAGAGAGAGACCAGAGAAACCAGAGAGAGACCAGAGAGACCAGAGAGAGACCAGAGAGAGAGACCAGAGAGAGACCAGAGAGACCAGAGAGAGACCAGAGAGAGAGACCAGAGATACCAGAGAGACCAGAGAGAGACCAGAGAGAGAGACCAGAGAGAGACCAGAGAGAGACCAGAGAGAGACCAGAGAAACCAGAGAGAGACCAGAGAGACCAGAGAGACCAGAGAGAAACCAGAGAGAGAGAACAGAGAGAGAGAGACCAGAGAGAGACCAGAGAGAGAGACCAGAGAGAGACCAGAGAGAGACCAGAGAGAGACCAGAGAGACCAGAGAGAAACCAGAGAGAGAGAACAGAGAGAGAGAGACCAGAGAGAGAGACCAGAGAGAGACCAGAGAGAGACCAACATTTTGGACCAAAATCAGTCAGTTTCTCCATCTTTAACAAATGTGATGACATCTGACAGGTGTGTGTGTGTGTGTGTGCGTGTCTGTGTGTGTCTGTGTGTGTGTGTGTGTGTGTGCGTCTGTGTGTGTGTGTCTGTAAGAGACACCAGGACACCAGCCGGTCCACCTCCCTCCTGTAGGAGACACCAGGACACCAGCCGGTCCACCTCCCTCCTGTAGGAGACACCAGGACACCAGCCGGTCCACCTCCCTCCTGTAGGAGACACCAGGACACCAGCCGGTCCACCTCCTCCTGTAGGAGACACCAGGACACCAGCCGGTCCACCTCCCTCCTGTAGGAGACACCAGGACACCAGCCGGTCCACCTCCCTCCTGTAGGAGACACCAGGACACCAGCCGGTCCACCTCCCTCCTGTAGGAGACACCAGGACACCAGCCGGTCCACCTCCCTCCTGTAGGAGACACCAGGGCACCAGCCGGTCCACCTCCCTCCTGTAGGAGACACCAGGACACCAGCCGGTCCACCTCCCTCCTGTAGGAGACACCAGGACACCAGCCGGTCCACCTCCCTCTTGTAGGAGACACCAGGACACCAGCCGGTCCACCTCCCTCCTGTAGGAGACACCAGGACACCAGCCGGTCCACCTCCCTCCTGTAGGAGACACCAGGACACCAGCCGGTCCACCTCCCTCCTGTAGGAGACACCAGGACACCAGCCGGTCCTCCTCCCTCCTGTAGGAGACACCAGGACACCAGCCGGTCCACCTCCCTCCTGTAGGAGACACCAGGACACCAGCCGGTCCACCTCCCTCCTGTAGGAGACACCAGGACACCAGCCGGTCCACCTCCTCCTGTAGGAGACACCAGGACACCAGCCGGTCCACCTCCCTCCTGTAGGAGACACCAGGACACCAGCCGGTCCACCTCCCTCCTGTAGGAGACACCAGGACACCAGCCGGTCCACCTCCTCCTGTAGGAGACACCAGGACACCAGCCGGTCCACCTCCCTCCTGTAGGAGACACCAGGACACCAGCCGGTCCACCTCCCTCCTGTAGGAGACACCAGGACACCTCCCTCCTGTAGGAGACACCAGGACACCAGCCGGTCCACCTCCCTCCTGTAGGAGACACCAGGACACCAGCCGGTCCACCTCCCTCCTGTAGGAGACACCAGGACACCAGCCGGTCCACCTCCCTCCTGTAGGAGACACCAGGACACCAGCCGGTCCACCTCCCTCCTGTAGGAGACACCAGGACACCAGCCGGTCCACCTCCCTCCTGTAGGAGACACCAGGACACCAGCCGGTCCACCTCCCTCCTGTAGGAGACACCAGGACACCAGCCGGTCCACCTCCCTCCTGTAGGAGACACCAGGACACCAGCCGGTCCACCTCCCTCCTGTAGGCGGACTCATCGTTGTTGGAGATGAGTCCAATGAGGGTGGTGTCGTCCGTGAACTTGATCAGCTTCACGGAGTCGTGGCTGGAGGTGCAGTGGTTGGAGGTGCAGTGGGAGGAGGTGCAGTGGTTGGAGGTGCAGTGGGAGGAGGTGCAGTGGTTGGTGTACAGGGAGAAGAGCAGGGGAGAAAGAACACAGCCCTGTGGGGCTCCTGTATTTATAATCCGAGAGTCCGAGACATTCTTCCCCAGACGCACTCGCTGCTTCCTGTCCGTCAGGACTGCGCCTCCTTCTCCTCTTTCTCCTCTGGTTGCCCCTCCTTCTCCTTTGGCTCGGCTCCTGTTCTTCTGCACTTCCTGCTCCTCCTTCTCCGCTGCACCTCCAGCCACTGTGCCTCCTTCTCTGGCTGCGCCTCCTTCTCTGTCTGCGCCTCCTTCTCTCCTGGCTTACTTCCTTCTCCTTTGCACCTCCTGCTCCTCTGACTGCACCTCCTTCTCCTCTGCACCGCCTTCTCCTTTGACTGCGCCTCCTTCTCCCCTGGCTCACCTCCTTCTCCTCTGCACCTCCTTCTCCTCTGGCTGCGCCTCCTTCTCCCCTGGCTCGCCTCCTGACGCCTCCTGGTGCGTGTCCATAACTCAGTGCAGAGTAAACAAAGTGCTGTAACAGCTCTCTGGACACACGTTTGCCTGGTCCAGTGATGTGCCGCGGCCTGAGCCTCTCCCAAACGAGCCCGCGGCACTTTACAAACCAGCGCCCGCCGTCCCCAAAGACCTCCGACCGGCACCGGCGCAACCGCGGCCACGGCCACGGCACATAAATCATCTTTTAAGCACTGAGTGGGGCAGCTGCGGCTATAAACACTGTCGACTCTGCGCTCTCCACGATGTAAATAATTTATCAAGATTTGGCACACACACAAACACACACACGTGTATGTGCGCCTGTGTATGTGTGTGTGTGTGTGTGTGTGTGTGTGTGTGTGTGTGTGTGTGCGTGTGTGTGTGTAGGTCCTCAGACACCATTTTAGTGGAGCGCCTGTCTGAGGATGCGGTCAGTGTTTCCGCGGCGGCCCTGTCTGTCGCAGTAATGAATCCCACTGTGATCTCTGTGGCAGCGCGGTCATCACTCTCTGACCGACACACACACACACAGACGCACACACAGACACACACACACACAGACGCACACACACACACACACACACACAGACACACACACAGACACACACACACACAGACGCACACACACACACACACACAGACACACACACAGACACACACAGACGCACACAGGCACACACACTTACAAGCAAACACACACACACACGCACAAATAGTCACACAGACAAACACACAAAGATACACACACATGTAGGCACCGACCCACACACAGAGACACACACACACACACACATACAGAGACACACACACAGGTCCCGCTGACTGCCTGCTCATTCATCATGCGACCCCTCATGGAGCTGCTGCTGGGAGTCTGGGGGATACAGGATGGAGATGGAGAGGAGCAGGACGGGATGGGGAGGGAGGGGGAGGGGGGAGTGAGGGAGGGAGGGAGGGTGTGTGAGGGGGGAGCGAGGGAGGGAGGGGGAGGGGGGAGTGAGGGAGGGAGGGAGGTGTGAGGGGGGAGGGAGGGAGGGAGGGAGGTGTGAGGGGGGAGGGAGGGAGGGAGGGAGGTGTGAGGGGGGAGGGAGGGAGGGAGAGGTGATGGGAGAGAGGGAGAGAGCTCACGGCTGTGCCCTGGGGAAAGGCTCCGAGGCAACAAGCTGAACTGGAGGGAAAAATGCTGTTGAGAGTTTGTGAAGGTAGAGTTGGGCACGTTACCTGCTGATGTGAGGTGTAGAAGAGACCCCCCCACCCTGATGTAGAGACCCCCACCCTGATGTAGAGACCCCACCCTGATGTAGACACCCCCACCCTGATGTAGACACCCCCACCCTGATGTAGAGACCCCACCCTGATGTAGAGACCCCCACCCTGTGTAGACACCCCACCCTGATGTAGACACCCCCACCCTGATGTAGACACCCCCACCCTGATGTAGAGACCCCACCCTGATGTAGACACCCCCACCCTGATGTAGAGACCCCACCCTGATGTAGACACCCCCACCCTGATGTAGAGACCCCACCCTGATGTAGACACCCCCACCCTGATGTAGAGACCCCCACCCTGATGTAGAGACCCCACCCTGATGTAGAGACCCCTACCCTGATGTAGAGACCCCCACCCTGATGTAGAGACACCCCCTGATGTAGAGACCCCTACCCTGATGTAGAGACCCCCCCTGATGTAGAGACCCCCACCCTGATGTAGAGACCCCTACCCTGATGTAGACACCCCCCCTGATGTAGAGACCCCCACCCTGATGTAGAGACCCCCACCCTGATGTAGACACCCCCACCCTGATGTAGAGACCCCCCCTGATGTAGACACCCCCACCCTGATGTAGAGACCCCACCCTGATGTAGAGACCCCCACCCTGATGTAGAGACCCCACCCTGATGTAGAGACCCCCACCCTGATGTAGAGACCCACCCTGATGTAGACCCCCACCCTGATGTAGACACCCCCACCCTGATGTAGAGACCCCACCCTGATGTAGACACCCCACCCTGATGTAGAGACCCCACCCTGATGTGAACACCCCACCCTGATGTAGACACCCCCACCCTGATGTAGAGACCCCACCCTGATGTAGACACCCCCACCCTGATGTAGAGACCCCACCCTGATGTAGAGACCCCACCCTGATGTAGAGACCCCCACCCTGATGTAGAGACCCCACCCTGATGTAGACACCCCACCCTGATGTAGACACCCCCACCCTGATGTAGAGACCCCACCCTGATGTAGACACCCCCACCCTGATGTAGAGACCCCCCCTGATGTAGACACCCCCACCCTGATGTAGAGACCCCTACCCTGATGTAGACACCCCCACCCTGATGTAGAGACCCCTACCCTGATGTAGAGACCCCCCCTGATGTAGAGACCCCCACCCTGATGTAGAGACCCCACCCTGATGTAGAGACCCCACCCTGATGTAGAGACCCCCACCCTGATGTAGAGACCCCACCCTGATGTAGACACCCCACCCTGATGTAGACACCCCCACCCTGATGTAGAGACCCCCACCCTGATGTAGACACCCCCACCCTGATGTAGAGACCCCCCCTGATGTAGACACCCCCACCCTGATGTAGAGACCCCCCCTGATGTAGACACCCCCACCCTGATGTAGAGACCCCACCCTGATGTAGACACCCCCACCCTGATGTAGAGACCCCACCCTGATGTAGACACCCCCACCCTGATGTAGAGACCCCCACCCTGATGTAGAGACCCCTACCCTGATGTAGACACCCCCACCCTGATGTAGAGACCCCTACCCTGATGTAGAGACCCCCACCCTGATGTAGAGACCCCTACCCTGATGTAGACACCCCCACCCTGATGTAGAGACCCCCACCCTGATGTAGAGACCCCCCCTGATGTAGACACCCCCACCCTGATGTAGAGACCCCCCCTGATGTAGACACCCCCACCCTGATGTAGAGACCCCTACCCTGATGTAGAGACCCCCACCCTGATGTAGAGACCCCACCCTGATGTAGAGACCCCCACCCTGATGTAGAGACCCCACCCTGATGTAGACACCCCACCCTGATGTAGACACCCCCACCCTGATGTAGAGACCCCACCCTGATGTAGACACCCCCACCCTGATGTAGAGACCCCACCCTGATGTAGACACCCCACCCTGATGTAGACACCCCCACCCTGATGTAGAGACCCCACCCTGATGTAGACACCCCCACCCTGATGTAGAGACCCCACCCTGATGTAGACACCCCACCCTGATGTAGACACCCCCACCCTGATGTAGAGACCCCACCCTGATGTAGACACCCCCACCCTGATGTAGAGACCCCCCCTGATGTAGACACCCCCACCCTGATGTAGAGACCCCCCCTGATGTAGACACCCCCACCCTGATGTAGAGACCCCACCCTGATGTAGACACCCCCACCCTGATGTAGAGACCCCACCCTGATGTAGACACCCCCACCCTGATGTAGAGACCCCCACCCTGATGTAGAGACCCCTACCCTGATGTAGACACCCCCACCCTGATGTAGAGACCCCTACCCTGATGTAGAGACCCCCACCCTGATGTAGAGACCCCTACCCTGATGTAGACACCCCCACCCTGATGTAGAGACCCCCACCCTGATGTAGAGACCCCCCCTGATGTAGACACCCCCACCCTGATGTAGAGACCCCCCCTGATGTAGACACCCCCACCCTGATGTAGAGACACCCCAACCTGTTGTAGAGACCCGCCCTGATCTACAGACCCCCACCCTGATGTAGAGAACCCCACCCTGATGTATTGACCCCCACCGTATTGTAGAGACCCCCACCCTGATGTATTGACCCCCACCGTATTGTAGAGACCCCCACCCTGATGTAGAGACCCCCACCCTGATGTATTGACCCCACCCTGTTGTAGAGACCCCCCCCTGATGCAGAGACCCCCCTGGTCTCACACGCACACACACACACACGCTCTGACTCACCACCTCTTCAAACTCAAAATGAATATTCAGTGGTAAACGACGAACAAAACATGGTCTCCACATGGTCCCCACACGGTCCCCACATGGTTCCACACGGTCCCCACATGGTTCCATACGGTCCCCACATGGTTCTACACGGTCCCCACATGATTCCACACGGTCCCCACATGGTTCCGTATGGTCCCCACATGGTTCTACACGGTCCCCACATGGTTCCACACAAACCCACATGGTTCTACACGGTCCCCACATGGTTACAGACGGTCCCCACATGGTTCACTCTGACCTCTGACCTTCTGCACTCACAGACCACAGTTCTGAAAAAACTACTGTTACACGTCTATTGTACTTAGTGCATTTTCATACAGCAGTGATTATAATCCACTTGTTTGTACTTCCTGGTCCACCTGTTTGTGTTTCCTGGTGTACCTGTTTGTACCTGTTTCCTGGTCCACCTGTTTGTGCTTCCTGGTCCACCTGTTTGTGTTTCCTGGTCCACCTGTTTGTGCTTCCTGGTCCACCTGTTTGTGTTTCCTGGTCCACCTGTTTGTGTTTCCTGGTCCACCTGTTTGTGTTTCCTGGTCCCTGCATGCTTTTTGGGCGTCAAAAACACTTGTTACCGACGACAGACGCTGTCACAGAACCTTCTGGACGTGTCCGACTCTTCCACCGCCTTTTGGAAACTTCAACTGAATAAACACAACGACTCATGAGCAGGAAAGTACTAGTTGTTGCGCGGGAAAATATTTACTATTGTGAAAAGTTTTAATAACTTACCCAAAATACCAACCTCCTCACTGACCCTCCTCTGTTTCTGTCACAGAAGTTATAGTCCGTGGGTCATACAGCTCTGAACCAGCACAGACAGAAACCATCAGCTTGTCCTCCATAGTTGAGGATCTGTTGTCTTCCTGGTGTTTCCCTGGTCCTACAGTCCTGTCTTTCTGGTCCTATAGTCTTGTCTTCCTGGCGAACTCCCATGAACCCTCGAGTATTCGCTGGAGAGTATAGAGCTGGTCCAGTGTTCCACGACCGGGACGAAAACCACACTGCTCCTCCTGGATCCGAGATTCGACCATCGGCCGTAGCCTCCTCTCCAGTACCTTGGAGTAGACCTTACCGGGGAGGCTGAGGAGTGTGATCCCACGATAATTGGAACACACCCTCCGGTCCCCCTTCTTGTAGAGAGGGACCACCACCCCGGTCTGCCACTCCATTGGCACCGCCCCCGATCGCCACGCGATGTTGCAGAGACGTGTCAGCCAAGACAGTCCTACAACATCCAGAGACTTTAGATAGTCAGGACGGATCTCATCCACTCCCTGCGCCTTCCCACCATGGAGGCTGCCAACCACCTTGGTGACCTCAGCCAGGGAGATGGATGTATCCGCCCCAACATCCTCAGCCTCTGCCTCTGACAGAGGACGTGACGGGGGGATTGAGGAGAACCTCAAAGTATTCCTTCCACCGCCCGACAATATCCCCAGTCGAGGTCAGCAGCTCTTCACCCGCACCGTACACGGTGTTGGCAAAGCACTGCTTCCCCCTCCTGAGGCGCCGGATGGTTTGCCAGAATCTCTTTGAGGGTGACTGATAGTCCTGCTCCATGGACTCTCCGAACTCCTCCCAGTCCCGGGTTTTTGCCTCTGCAACAGCCCGGGCCGCGGCACGCTTGGCCTGCCGGTACTGGACAGCTGCCTCAGGAGTCCCCCGAACCATCATAGCTCGATAGGACTCCTTCTTCAGCCTGACGGCATCCCTTACTGCCGGTGTCCACCACCGGGTTCCGGGGGTTGCCGCCGGGACCAGCACCAGAGACCCTGCGACGACAGCTACGAGCCGCCGCATCGGTGATAGAGGAAGAGAACATGGTGAAGCTCTCCTCCTCTGGGACCTGGGAGTAGCTCTCCTCCTCTGGGACCTGGGAGAAGCTCTCCTCCTCTGGGACCTGGGAGAAGCTCTCCTCCTCTGGGACCTGGGAGAGCTCTCCTCCTCTGGGACCTGGGAGAACCTCTCCTCCTCTGGGACCTGGGAGAACCTCTCCTCCTCTGGGACCTGGGAGTAGCTCTCCTCCGCCGGGACCTGGGAGAAGCTCTCCTCCTCTGGGACCTGGGAGAAGCTCTCCTCCTCTGGGACTGGGACTAGCTCTCCTCCTCTGGGACCTGGGAGTAGCTCTCCTCCTCTGGGACCTGGGAGAAGCTCTCCTCCTCTGGGACCTGGGAGAAGCTCTCCTCCTCTGGGACCTGGGAGTAGCTCTCCTCCGCCGGGACCTGGGAGAAGCTCTCCTCCTCTGGGACCTGGGAGAAGCTCTCCTCCTCTGGGACCTGGGACTAGCTCTCCTCCTCTGGGACCTGGGAGTAGCTCTCCTCCTCTGGGACCTGGGAGAAGCTCTCCTCCTCTGGGACCTGGGAGTAGCTCTCCTCCTCTGCCGGGACCTGGGAGAAGCTATCCTCCTCTGGGACCTGGGAGTAGCTCTCCTCCGCCGGGACCTGGGAAAAGCTCTCCTCCCCTGGGACCTGGGAGTAGCTCTCCTCCTCTGGGACCTGGGAGTAGCTCTCCTCCTCTGGGACCTGGGAGTAGCTCTCCTCCTCTGGGACCTGGGAGAAGCTCTCCTCCTCTGGGACCTGGGAGTAGCTCTCCTCCTCTGGGACCTGGGAGTAGCTCTCCTCCTCTGGGACCTGGGAGTAGCTCTCCTCCTCTGGGACCTGGGAGTAGCTCTCCTCCTCTGGGACCTGGGAGAAGCTCTCCTCCTCTGGGACCTGGGAGTAGCTCTCCTCCTCTGGGACCTGGGAGTAGCTCTCCTGGAGGTGTGAGTTGAAAGTCCGTCTGACAGGGGGCTCAGCGAGACCAGCAGACCCTCACTACACGCTTGGGTCTGCCAGGTCTGACCGGCCTCCTCCCCTGCCAGCGGATCCAACTCACGACCAGGTGATGATCGGTTGATAGCTCCACCCCTCTCTTTAGCTCCACCCCTCTCTTTAGCCCCGCCCCTCTCTTTAGCTCCGCCCCTCTCTTCACCCGAGTGTCCGAGACGGGCGGTCGAAGGTCAGATGATACGACAACAAAGTGGATCATCGACCTCCGGCCTCAGGTCCTGGCGCCCCCTGGTGGACACCCTTGTGCTGGAACATGGTGTTGGTGATGGACAAACTGTGACTGGCACAGAAGTCCAACAACTGAACACCGCTCGGGTTCAGATCAGGGCTGTTCTTCCCCTTCACCCCTCTCCAAGTGTCACTGGTGTCCCCCACATGGGCGTTGAAGTCCCCCAGGAGAATAACGGAGTCCGCGGTCAGTGCACGGTTCAGTACCTCTCCCAAGGACTCCAAGAAGGCCAAGTACTCTGCACTGCTGTTAGGCCCGTGGGCAGAGCTGAGATGGGGGGCCATGAGAATGGCCACCCCAGCTCGCCGCCTCTCCCCGCGCGAGACACCAGAAAAGTGGAGCGTCCAACCCCTCTCAAGGAGTTGGGTTCAGAGCCCAAGCTGTGTGTGGAGGTGAGGCCGACTATCTCTAGTCGGTATCGCTCAACCTCCCCCACGAGCTCGGGCTCCTTCCCCCCAGTGAGGTGACGTTCCACGTCCCAAGAGCCAGATGTTGGGTGTGTGGACTGGGTCGCCGAGGTCTCCGCCTTCGACTGCTGCCCGGTCCTCTCTGCACCGATGCCCCACGGACCCCTCTGCAGGTGGTGGGTTCACAGGAGGGACTGCCTACGTCGTCCGTTCGGGCTGAGCCCGGCCGGGCCCCGTGGGCTAAGGCCCGGCCACCAGGCGCTTGCTTTCGAGCCCCGACCCCAGGCCTGGCTCCAGGGTGGGGCCCTGGCTGCGCCACGCAGTCATCTTCATGCTTTCCATGATGGCTTCGGACTGCACTTCGTCTGACTCGTCACCCAAGACCCTGTTTGCGAGACCGGTCTCTCTCTGGTCTCCCTCTGGTCTCCCTCTGGGCTCTCTTTGGTCTCTCTCTGGTCTCTTTCTGGTCTCTTTCTGGTCTCTTTCTGGTGTCTCTCTGGTCTCTCTCTGGTCTCTCTCTGGTCTCTCTCTAGTGTCTCCTCGGTGTCTCTCTGGTCTCCCTCTGGTCTCTCTCTGGTCTCTCTCTGGTCTCTTTCTGGTCTCTCTCTGGTCTCTCTCTGGTGTCTCTCTGGTGTCTCTCTGGTCTCTCTCTGGTGTCTCTCTGGTCTCTCTCTGGTCTCTTTCTGGTCTCTCTCTGGTCTCTCTCTGGTGTCTCTCTGGTCTCTCTCTGGTCTCTCTCTGGTCTCTTTCTGGTCTCTTTCTGGTCTCTCTCTGGTCTCTTTCTGGTCTCTTTCTGGTCTCTCTCTGGTCTCCCTCTGGTCTCTCTGGTCTCTCTCTGGTCTCTTTCTGGTCTCTCTCTGGTGTCTCTCTGGTCTCTCTCTGGTCTCTCTCTGGTCTCTCTCTGGTCTCTCTCTGGTCTCTCTCTGGTCTCTCTCTGGTCTCTCTCTAGTGTCTCTCTGGTGTCTCTCTGGTCTCTCTCTGGTCTCTCTCTGGGCTCTCTTTGGTCTCTCTCTGGTCTCTCTCTCTTTCTGGTCTCTCTCTGGTCTCTCTCTGGTCTCTCTCTGGTGTCTCTTTGGTGTCTCTCTGGTCTCCCTCTGGTCTCTCTCTGGTCTCTCTCTGGTCTCTTTCTGGTCTCTCTCTGGTCTCTTTCTGGTCTCTCTCTAGTGTCTCTCTCTGGTCTCTCTCTGGGCTCTCTTTGGTCTCTCTCTGGTCTCTTTCTGGTCTCTTTCTGGTCTCTCTCTGGTCTCTCTCTGGTCTCTCTCTGGTCTCTCTCTGGTGTCTCTTTGGTGTCTCTCTGGTCTCCCTCTGGTCTCTCTCTGGTCTCTCTCTGGTCTCTCTCTGGTGTCTCCCTGGTCTCTCTCTGGTCTCTCTCTGGTCTCTCTCTGGTCTCTCTCTGGTCTCTCTCTGGTCTCTCTCTCTGGTCTCTCTCTGGTCTCTCTCTGGTCTCTCTCTCTGGTCTCTCTCTGGTCTCTCTCTGGTCTCTCTCTCTGGTCTCTCTCTGGTCTCTCTCTGGTCTCCCTCTGGTCTCTCTCTGGTCTCCCTCTGGTCTCCCTCTGGTCTCCCTCTGGTCTCTCTCTCTGGTCTCTCTCTGGTCTCTCTCTCTGGTCTCTCTCTGGTCTCTCTCTGGTCTCTCTCTGGTCTCTCTCTGGTCTCTCTCTGGTCTCCCTCTGGTCTCTATCTGGTCTCTCTCTGGTCTCTCTCTGGTCTCTCTCTGGTCTCTCTCTGGTCTCTCTCTGGTTTCTCTGATCATGGAAATGATTTGTTACCTAATCTCTCTGGTCACTGTCAGGATGCTGCTCCGGTGACGGGACGTTCCTCTGGCTCTAAACGCCTCCCAGCTGCTCCTCCTGCCGCGCTCCCGGTGACCGGTCCCCGCCGCTCTCTCGTCGTCCCCGCCGCTCTCTCGTCCCCGCCGCTCTCTCGTCCCCGCCGCTCTCTCGTCCCCGCCGCTCTCTCGTCCCCGCCGCTCTCTCGTCCCCGCCGCTCTCTCGTCCCCAGGATGATGTCTCTTGAAGGCCCTTCCCCCGAGGGACCATTAAGCTGAAAATAATTGGCTCAGATTCTTCTCCTTCATCGATCCTTTTAGAGTCAGTGAACTCTGAGCAACACAAGAGCAGCGGAGAGAAACACACACTGTCACACACCCTGACACACACACTGTCACACACACTGACACACACACTGACACACACACTGTCACACACACTGACACACACACTGACACACACACTGTCACACACACTGACACACACACTGACACACACACTGACACACACGTCACACACACTGAAACACACACTGACACACACACTGTCACACACACTGACACACACACTGTCACACACACTGACACACACCCTGACACACACACTGTCACACACACTGACACACACACTGTCACACACACTGACACACACACTGACACACACACTGACACACACGTCACACACACTGAAACACACACTGACACACACACTGTCACACCACCCTGACACACACACTGTCACACACACTGACACACACCCTGACACACACACTGTCACACACACTGACACACACACTGTCACACACACTGACACACACACTGACACACACACTGTCACACACACTGACACACACACTGACACACACACTGACACACACACTGACACACACGTCACACACACTGAAACACACACTGACACACACACTGTCACACACACTGACACACACGTCACACACACTGAAACACACACTGACACACACACTGTCACACACACAGTCACACACGGTCACACACACACACACAGTCACACACCCTGGCACACACACTGTCGCACACCCTGACACACACACTGACACACACACTGTCACACACACTGACACACACGTCACACACACTGAAACACACACTGTCACACACACAGTCACACACGGTCACACACACACACACACAGTCACACACCCTGGCACACACACTGTCGCACACCCTGACACACACACTGACACACACACTGAAACACACACTGAAACACACACTGACACACACACTGTCACACACACGGTCACACACTGAAACACACACTGACACACACACTGTCACACACTCTGACACACACACTGTCACACACACAGTCACACACACGGTCACACACACACACACACAGTCACACACCCTGACACACACACTGTCACACACCCTGACACACACACTGAGACACACACTGACACACACACACACACTGACACACACACTGTCACACACACAGTCACACACACGGTCACACACACACACACAGTCACACACCCTGACACACACACTGAAACACACACTGTCACACACCCTGACACACACACTGAGACACACACTGACACACACACTGTCACACACACGGTCACACACGTCACACACACACAGTCACACACCCTGACACACACACACAGTCACAAACCCTGATACACACACACACACTGTCACACACCCTGTCACACACTCTGTCACACACACAGTCACACACCCTGACACACACACACAGTCACAAACCCTGACACACACACACACACTGTCACACACCCTGTCACACACACAGTCACACACACGGTCACACACACACACAGTCACACACCCTGACACACACACACACACACATACACGTTTTTGTTACCTGGTGGGTCCCTTTGACAGGGCCGTTCAGAATGGGACCCATAGACATAATCTTTTTTTACTGGGACTACTTTAAGTAATACAAAACAGTCAATAGAAACCAAACAACTATTTTAAAGGAATTTTATTTTAGATTTTGTTTTCGAATTGCAGTGATTCTATTTTTGACATAGAATTTAATGCCACTCCATGTCCGATGTCTAAGGTCATCTGGTGAGGCATTAATGCAGGCCAGGCAGTGAGACTTCCCAGGGACCTTTCCAGTCTGTATGAAAGGTGTCATGGTCTTCTCCACAGCCTTCACCTCAGATGCAGACCATGGCTTTCTCTACACGTTCTAGGGAGAGAAATAAAAATATATTAGCAATATACACTCCCAGGGTGAGGACCAAGCAGCCTGGCTGTAATCCCCCACCTGGTACACTTACCAGAAGGGGCACTGCCACTACCATGGGGTGCATCTGGATGAATGGTTGAAGGTTCTCCGCTTGAAGTTTCTTTTAGCCCGTCCGTTTGTGAGAGGATCTCTACTGCTCTCCCTGTCGCACAGAAAATAAAAATACAAGTGGCCTTTAGGGGAAAAAAATCATACATATTTTAATAATATCAAGAATTACCTTCTGGCTCAATTTGTATCTGGTCGAGGCTCTTTCCTTCGAATTCCGTCACTCTTCCCTGCTCCATGGCCATCAACACTTTGCTGATTTTGGCCAGCTCCAGTGTCCCCTCTGGTAGTCTGTAATATTGTCTGTGGATGTGAATGTCATGGCCGAGGAAGTTGGCAAGTATGTCCATCTCATTCTCTTTCATATTGAGAACTGTAGACATAGTAGCTATGTGCTTTCTAAGTTTGGTTGAGGATAGCATCTCTGGATGCACCGCACCACATTCTTTGGCTACCTGGCGTAGGGAGTCTGATC